GCTGAATTATCCTTTTTAAGGTTTATGCTGGGATCAATTTGAATATATATAATTTCCTTTGACGTCAAAAGCTGGGAAGAGATATGAATCGTGCTTACAACCGGAAATTTTTACACAGCTGGCGCTAGTGTTATTAAACAATAGCCGATCTACGTCATTTGTTTTCAAATTTCCGAATTTCAAATACCAAGAGGGAAAATCAATTATTTAATCATCAATAAAACGATGCCATCGCGAGACCAATTAATGTAGAGAAAATGATTATAATTGTTGAGAAGATACTGGCAATGAAAATAAAAACGAGAATGAAGGTTTTTTGCACGGGAAAGGGTTGGTAATAGCGAGTACATTATGGCGTTGGTAAGTAATTGAAAGCATGTTAAACTGGGTTCCTTCGCAATATTGCTTCTTTACTTTGGTCAAAAGATAAGGCATAATTATTTGAAAATTACTGATCGAAGCCTTCCTACCCACATAGCGTATCTTGATTTGTTTTTATTAGAAATCAAAACATTCATATTTACGTCGAGAGATCTAAGAATTGTTAAGAAATCGCTGTCTGATCGAATATTCTACAAAAGCTAATAAGTATATGTAGAAGAATTTTTACATTCGAACCAAAAATGAAAGAATAAGTGCCGCAGAACTTTCAAAACTGCTTTACTTACCGTAATCTTGTACTAAGTAATCCCCATAATCCGTTACTCTGCGCGATTCACAGCGAACAAAAGACAGACAGAGCAGAAGAACAAGAAAGTTCTTCCTCATCCTAACAATCGAACGTGAAGCGACTTTTGGAAGCAAATATCGCTTTTGCATATTGCTTTGACAACTAATATATATTGTGGGCCCTGCATTCGATTGATTTCAAGGGCTGGGTGGCTCTTTTGAATCAGCTGGGTAATTATAACATCAAAAATAACATGACCCTTCAAATGAACACGTAGCCAAAGCATTGCTGTATTTTTTTCTTTTAATGACATTTAAGTCGAGACTCACAAACAATGAAATGCTATTTGTTCTTTCGTCATTTTTGCAGCTAAGTTGAAAATCAATTTTTTTCGGCATTAAAGCCTTGTAAAAGAACGATGTTCTGTGGCATTTTGTATTGTAAGGCAGTATTTCGGTTTAAATTCCTCAAAATCTTTTAAGCTGTGCCTTTTTATTTCTCATCCTGAAATATGCTGGTGAACAGCTCAAGTTATTTCAAGGACTTTTTACTTCATAAGTAGTCATAGAGTTCCACAATGCTCATGAGATCAAAAATAACAAAAGCTTCATTTTAGGCGTTAACTTATTCATAATCAAATCTGTGTGAAGATCCTTGTGGAACCACAGTTTCTCACGACATACGTAGAGCTCCATATCTCATCACTCAGTCATAGCAACAGAATTTTATGACGATCGAAACTTTCCGCCGAAAGCAACCAATCCTGAGCAGTGTAGTGGTTATACTGTCACAATAAATTCCGGTTGATGATTAATGGGGCCAGTCGATGGAACACAGTGGTATTAACATTTGCTAACCAGGCAAAGTTTATTGAAGAAAAGTATAACAATTTGAATACGCCCAAAAGGTTGAAAACCTTCACTGTTGAGAGAGGGAATGGGGCTGCTTCTCATCTGCTCAACAATACTGATCCAATGTGATAGGAATATCAGAGGCTCAGCATGTCGCAAAAGCTCTTGTGTATCGGCGCCTCGCATTTTTTGTTAGTTTACCTTGACGACCTTGACGTCTTCTATTAGACATTCGCATAGACAAACACCCATATGGAGTGTGAGTGTTTTTGATGTAATTTTTTTTCGGTTACAGAAGAGAAGATGTTTTTTTCTTCTCCAAGCTAATGAGCTCTCACAAAGGCTTGCGCGAAAATTTAGCGATTTCTGTTCCTCCCCTCCTTTTCTACACTTCCGTGACTTGAGTATGAAGTCCCTTTTCTCGCTTATCTGTTGTTGTCCACGCGATCCTTCAATTGAGAAATTTGCGTTTTTCCAGTTTTAAGCTCACTTGTAGGCCATATTGGCCTGGCAACATGGGATAAAAAAAAAATGGACCACAGAACTATCTTTATCGGTACAGTGTTTATAATTCGAGCTTTTATGGATCTACTCCGCACAAATATATGCAGCTTGCTAACCTGTAAAAGCCATTTGCTCAATATTGTATTTTATGTCTCCTTCGCTAGATGAAAATTTTTATATATTTGAAATTATACCTTTGTCGAAAATTTGGTCGGTTTTTAAGTCAATAGTCGGAATTTGTTTGCAAGAGTACAATGCTCATGATTGAAACCAAAAAGTTTGCATGTGTCGTTATGAAAATTGGTCCCCCATTTATTAGTGGTCGAGAAACCAAGTCTCGTGTGATTAAATACTAAACAAATTTCATTTTTTATGATCTGGTAAAGGTAAGGGCACAATGATAAAGGCATGAAGTGCGCATAATACAAAACACATAAACGAAAGAGGAGCTTGATCGCTGAAGGCTTGGTAACTTTCCAACAAAACTCACGACTCTTGCGCAAATAACCGTCTATTGCTATGAAATTCACCAGACAGTATTGTGATTAATGCTCATTCAAGTCGCTCATTCAATTCCATATGGCCCAGTCTTCCTTTAGTTTGACCCTTCAGTACTACATGCTTTTCTTCATTGACTTAGCAGCTCAGTAAAAAATTAACAATGTACCAAATATGGGATACATAAACTTTTTTATTTGGAGGCAAATAAGTTTATTTTGGATTATTTTTACACGATATATTTGCCTTGGAATCTGTTGTGTATTAGGGTTCGTTATATACTACTTTATAATAAAGTTCGGATATAACGCGCGCTGTCATTGGTTGAAAGAGCGT